AATTGTAATCGACACACCTTCAATAAACTATGATGAAATTGGTGTCATAAAGTTCCCAAAATACGTAAATATATTATTTATTTTAAATTTTAGTTAACTTATGACAAATTTGGGGTTCTTTCCATTGCTTAAGCATTTAGACGTAATGATTTATTGCTCTTAGTTCTTAGGCAGGGGTAATCGTAAGGAAATTTTATCCTTTTTCTCTACCTGAATAAGTTTCGTTTCTTCTTGATTCTTGTAGTTTTCACATAGTTGTCCACCTAGTGAAAAAAATGTTCTTTCATCGGGAGTCCAGTTGCATATGGACTACCGCTCTTTATTATTGTCTATCTTATAAAAAAAACCCTAGTGTTCTCTTTGCTTCTTTCGATCTCACTTCTCGTTATGTTTCACATTAAAATATATTTATTTAATTTTATCGACCGACACACATGTACGAGAATCCTGGGTCGGCCACTGCCCCACTCCACACTATTACGGATCGGGTAATAACCGCCTCATTGCGGATCAGGTTGGGTAATACCCGCGAGGTGGGTTCAAATTGCCATCACTAATTAGTTGTTTAGTTAGTTGAGTGGTAAACCGATTTGGTTAGGCTTAGTTTAGATCATTGACTTCTTCCCGCAAACACCAACTATGTTCATCACGTAGGCTTTTAATTGAGAAATTGGCTCTAACTCATGTATGGTCAGGTACCATGGTTAAGCTTCCATCTCAATATACGTATTAAATTAAAATTAATAGAGGTAGTTATACACGTAAAGTTGTACAGATCAAGCTAATCCGCTCCCCGGCCGGAGGAATGGTATGGCAATCAGAGGCTTCTGCTTCCTAACGAACGGACCGAACTTATCTGAAAAATCCGGCCTCTCCTCGCCGTCCGGCAGCTTCCACTCGAACGAATGCAACATCGACGCCAGCACGTAGTTCATGAGCCTCTCCGCCAGGTTCAGCCCGGCGCAAACCCGATGTCCGGATCCGAACGGCAGGTACTGAAAATTACTGCCCGTGAAACTAAACCTGGGCCCATTTTCAACCTCGTTCAAAAACCTCTCGGGCCTGAACTGTAGTGGATCGGCCCAGAGCTGTGGGTCCCGGTGAATGGCCCAAGTGTTGATGAGAACTGTAGCTCCTTTCGGAATTGAGTAGCCGCCGATGGTACGGGGTTGACCTGCAACGCGAGCTACCATCGCTAGATGCAGCCGACAAGTCTCTTTAACGACGGCGTTTAGGTAGCTAAGTTCTTTGAGATGATGGTCATCCATAAGGCTCTTTGGCCCTACGATCCGGTCTAGTTCTTGCAGTACTTTTATCATCACCTCTTCATTGCTTAGAAGCTCTGTTATCGCCCACTCGATTAACATCGCTGTTGTATTTGTGCCACCACCTGCTATATCCTGTATGTGAATAATAATAATAATAATGTACATGGATGAGATTTGAAGTTTGATACTTCATAATAATTACTTATCCCATTCATTTTTCTTTTTAATAATGCATAACCCAAATGGACTTTAAATTCCTCTCTTACTAAATTTTTTATTATCCCTTTGTAAATCATCACTTTTATTTTACCTCAACCTACGATAGACAATGGACAAATTGGATGGATATTACGATAATCATATAGATTTCGTGGCATATCGAATATTTTACTTTGAAATAAAATACTTTAAACATCTATTTCTTCATTGCAAAATTGAGAAACAAACTATAACAGAATAAAAAGTCGAGAATTGAGCAGGCTACGACAGATTAAATCGTAACGAGTACTTATGTTTATGCTTCTCAAAATAGACCAGACAAATCTGGTAGGACAAGTCAAGTTGGGAACTATAAAAAAAGAAAAACGAAAGAAAAATTATGGGAACGTACCAAAATCAAGCCTTTGAAGTGAACGGACGAGGTCGAGGCGATCAACGATCCCGTCGACAAGTCGCCGCCGCCACCCTGAACTTCCAACAAAATCTGGAGCAAATCCTTGGACGCCGTACCCTTTTTCCCCGCCAAATCCCCCAACCGCCGTTCAATCACAGAGCTAATCATCCCATCCATACGCGCCGCCAGCTCCGCAGCCTCCCTCTGTACCCCCTGCAGATCAAACCTGGCCAGCAGAGGAAACGCGTCGGAGACATTCGGCCGCCCCATCAGCTGCGCTACTTCCCTCGTCGCCTCCCGATACTCCGCCGCGAAATCAGCTCCACCGTCGCCGCCTCCGCCGCCCCACAGCATCGCCAGAGTCGAATCCACAACCAACTTGAACGCCGCATCGAACACCCGCGTCGGCTTGCCGACGCTATCGGCTCGAATCTCTCGAATTCCCGCCGCAACCGCCCGCTCCCTCAGGGCGCGACACGTGTCGAGGGCCCGGTTGCTCAAAACGTCGCGGACCAGGATTTTACGCAGCCCGGCCCAATCGGGGCCCCACGGCAGCGTCCCGACTTCCATCCCGCCGTAACCGAGGATTTTCACCGCGATCGCGGTTGGGCGGGCCGAGAATGTGGACTCGTTGGCCCGGAGGACTTCTCGGGCCAGGGCCGGGGAGCTGACCACGACCAGCAACTTGCTCGGGGTTTGGATTTTGTAGATTGGGCCGTGGGCCTGGGCCAGGGCCGTGAATTGGCGGTGGAGGTGGTTGGGGCGGAGGAACGGCATGTAGCCGACGATCGGCAGCCCCCGTGGACCCGGCAGCGAATTTGGTGTACGGAGATACGTGAGGAAGTAGAGGCCGGCGGATACCAATAATATTGCGATGGATATGGTGAAAAGTGATGCCGAAGTCTCGTCCTTGAGTAGAGAGACTAGGAAAGTGGCCATAGAAACCTGCCAAATTTTGATTTCGAGGAATTAGATTGAATTGCCGATTGTGAAATTCTATGGACTGTTGACACTTGACACTCCACGGGGTTTAAATATAGAAGGAATCTGCCACTAGTAAGATATTTATATTACATGTTGGCTAGTATTGGTACTTTAGTTTAAAAGAATTACGGTACAAATTGAAGTTGTATCTCTAGTGTTATGATACAAAATTAAGTTGTGTTTTATTTTTAGATACAAAAAATACTATGACACAATCTGAACTTATACATTTAATGTTATGATACATTTTAAATTTTTATGTATACATTTTCATGCAAAAATAAAACAAACTACAGTTATAGGTTTAACATATACAAATTCAATCTGTATCTGAAAATTGGGCTCATTGACATTATATATTTATATTGTTTGATGAGTCCACTTGGGATTTTTTTTTTTTTTGGTTTAATCGTTGGGATCCAAATTCATTTATTCTCCTACGGTAAATTATCTTCCCTTAGTAGTTAGTACTAGTCTTATGGAATATCACGACTGGCCAAAGTTAAAATACATATGTCAACTGAAATATGTACTTACAATACTTTGGGTGTAACAATCACCAAGTCAACTTATAGTTAAATGAAAAGGTGTCGATTGATGTGTTCCAACAACTTTTTTTTGGTGAAAATGTGTTCCAACTACTAATCCAAAAGAAAAATAATATTGAATGACTTGTTTAATACGCAACGTGAATTTCCAGTGGGTAGCAAACATCACATATTACTATTTGTAACTATAGATTTTATAAATAAATAAAAAGTAACTATAGATATGTCTGGAGTAAATTTTTTTTATAGAAACACATGTATGTTTTTATTAAGTGCTCATAACAATGTTATCATCCAAAATTAACAGCAGAAACATAAAGATAGGTGATCTAAACATAAAGATAGGTGATCTATCGGCGCAAAGTTTCTCAGTATTCCATTGACAATTTGTATGGGTTCTCATGTGAGCTACTCTATTACACTTTTCTTGACAAAAAGTCCACTCCACCTTCTCCATCTCTGAGCCTCAGGTCGTATCGTATCTCATCACAAAGTCGCACCACTTCGAAAAAATATTTGTTTGGCCGGTTTAGTTTAGAACTCGCCTCCAATCAATCTGTTTCAACGATTTGTGGTTTGATATCCTTCATTTTCACTATTCTCACAACATAGACTTGTCGAAAATAGTACAATCTCCGATTTCTGGAGTGATTCTATTCATTGATTTGAATATTGGATTTCTTCAAAATATTATTTGGAATTTTTTGATATACTAGAATTAAGAATACGCAAGAGAAAGAATAAGATCAACAATGAGAAATAGTTTAACTGATAGATTGGGATAAGAGGAAATGGAAGCTAATAATTAGCATCCCAGTTCCTAATTTTGATTATAAAGTTGAGTTTAAGTTAGGTCAAAACCTGATCTGACTCGACTCATTTGCAATTCTAGTACATACATTAAAATCATGTGTGGCTGAATAAACTAGCAGGAGGAGACAAAGAGGGAACTGAAGTACTTGAGGAGTATGATATGATCTGATATACCCCAAAGATATAGCGTTTTATGGGGAATCGGGCAGGTCAAGAATGTGATGAATCAACATATTTATAACGAGTGTCCATTTTGTGGGTTGATAGTAACACAAGAACAACACAATACAAAAATGTGACCGGACAAATAAGATTCGGATACAGAATTTAATAGTAAGATTGTTTCGAGTAGGTGAGAATCGTGGTTGTGAAGAATGACTATGTGATCTATTGAAGAATAGCTACTTAGTGGAGGAGTTAGGTTGAGACAAGAGGAATGGTAAGTTCACCTCAAAACTAAAATATAGTCAAAATCACATGAAAAATTCATAACAAATTTTGGAAATATAGTAATTGGTAAGGTCTTAGCCCCATTGGTTTCTCCAATTATGTCGGTTCAAAATTTTCTCAATCATTCAAATTTTCGACTTCTCCAGTCATGAGAAACCGTGATCTTTCCTAGCAGCTATATGATTCTTCGTGGACTATATTCTGATTTCACAATTGACTGATCTTTTTAAGAGCATTTGGAACTAGATTCTGAATTCGAATTGCACAAAACTATTCGTTTCACTTTATATTGCTCATATATCGATTTATTGCTAAATTAGTATCTCGAGGTATTGGGAGTTGAGAACAATAAAAAATGTGATTATATGTAGATTCGTTTTTGTAACCTAGAAGTATTAAAACATAAATTTTTAACATTCAAACCACAATTTTGACCTATGAGTACAATGAAGAAGACTTTCTTGGGCATTGTTTAGGCAAATACAAAGCTGGTCCAGATGATGTTAAAATTGAACTTCACAGCCCAATTTACCCAGCCGGCGGGGGAACGGTATAGCAACCAAAGGCTTTACCTTCTTCGCGACCACCCCCAACTTATCCGAAAAATCGAGCTTCTCCTCGCCGTCCGGCAGCTTCCACTCAAAGGAATGCAACATCGACGCCAGCACATATTTCATCAGTCTCTCTGCCAGGTTAAGCCCGACGCAAACCCGCCGACCGGATCCGAACGGCAGGAACTGGAAACTACTGCCCATGAAATCAAACCTCGGCCCATCCTCACAACTGTCCAGGAATCTCTCGGGCCGAAACTGCAGCGGTTCGGCCCAATTCTGCGGGTCTCTGTGGATGGCCCAAGTATTGACGAAAACTGCAGCTCCCTTTGGGATGTGGTAACCGCCGATGGTGCAAGGCTGACCGGCCAGTCGAGGGGTGAGTCCTAGGTGCAACCGGCATGTCTCCTTGACGACGGCGTTTAGGTAGTTCAGCTCTTTCAGATGACGTTGTTCCACGAAGTTGTTCGGTCCGACGATGAGATCTAGTTCTTGTTGGATTTTTGTCATCGCCTCTTTGTTGCTTAGAAGCTCTGTCATTGCCCATTCGAGTAGGATGGCTATGCTCTCCGTGCCACCAGATGCAATGTCCTGCCAATCATCAATATTGTTAGAACGGTAAATAGAAGTAAGGTAAGCTGATAAGGTAAATTTGATTATCGTAAACCGAATTAATAAGCATTAAATAATTTAAGATGTAACTATTGATTTGGTTAGCGGTTAACTCATTAACTTAAAAAAAACGAATATACAAGAACACATAATTAGAAATCGTGACTGACTGATAGGATATGGAGACAAAGTTTTATGGTGAGCTTGTTTCAGTTGGGCGAGGATCATGGTTGTGAAGAATAATTATAGGATCTTATTGAAGAAAAAAAAGCTACTCAACGGAGGAACTAGGTTGAAAGCAGGAGGGACTGTAGTCTCACTGGAATTTGAAATATAGATAAACTACATGTAAAATTTATGACAAATGTAGAAAATAAAGTAGTCGATAAGTTTTTAATCCCTCTCCCGATTATCACGGTTCAAATCAACCCTACTAATTCAAATTTCTGACTCAGTCGAAGAACCTACTAATAAGTAGGGCTGACTATTTGGTCCGGGCTATCTGGTTTTACCCGAAATCTGACCATATAACTCGGACCGGATTCGGATAGCAAACAATCCAATCCAATCTAATCTTCGGGCTTAGATTTGAGGTAAAAAAATTGTTTGGGACGGGATCGAAAACCGGATAAAGACCGGATAGGAGAGTCCAACACCCAAAACATAATCAACTCCTCACCCTTCGAGTCCTCAGGCAACTCAAATCCCCACAAGCTCAATCTAAAATCAAGACAAAATTGGGACCGAACCGAATCAAGACCGGACCGTATCCAATCTAATCTTTGGTCATTATATTCCAAAAAGATCGAAATGGGATCGAATCAATTCGGGCCCATTTAATGCAACTAGACGTATAATCACCCCTATTAATGAGTAAATGTGATCTTCCCTAGCAGCTATATGGTTCTTCTGGAAAGAGTGCAATAATGATCCTCTCAGTTTCTTAAAAAGCGTACCTGGATCATAGCCTTGAAGTGGAGGGACGAAGAAGCAATCAATGAATCCTCCCTGCTCTGTATTTCCAGCAAAATCTGGAGCAAATCCTTAGACGGCACCGATTTCCCCGAAGACAAATCCTTCAGCCGCCGTTGTACTACCGAAGTAATAATCCCATCGAAACGCTCCGCTACCTCCGCCGCCTCCCTCTGAATCCCCTGCAAATCAAACCTCGCAAGCAGAGGAATCACGTCGGAGACATTCGCCCTCCCCAACAGCTCCGTCATCTCCCTCGTCGCCTCCCGGTACTCCGCCGCGAAATCCGGCGCCGCCCCTCCTCCCTCCTCGCCGCCGCCCCACAACATGGCCAGGGTCGAATCGACCACCACCTTCATCGCCGCATCGAACACCCCCGTCGCCTCGCCGGCCCGAATCTCCCGCATCCCCGCCTCAACCGCTCCCCTGCCCAGCGCGTGACACGTGTCCAGGGCCCCGCTGCTGAGAACCTCCCGGAACATGACCTTCCGCAGCCCGGCCCAATCGGGGCCGTACGGCAGGTTCGCGAGGTCGATCCCGTCGTAGGTTAAGATCCGGCCCACGATCGGGATCGGGCGGGTCGAGAAGATGGACTCGTTGACCCGGAGGACCTCTTTCGCCAGATCCGGGGAGCTGACCACGACCAGGGATCTGTTGAGGCCCTGGATTGTGTAGATTGGGCCGTGGGTTTCGGCCAGGGAAGTGAGCTGCCGGTGGAGGTCGTTGCGGCGGAGGAACGGGAGGTACCCGACGACCGGCAGCCCACGTGGACCCGGCGGCGATTTGGTTCTTCGGAGATTTCCGAGGAAGTAGAGAACGGCGGCGGATATTGTGATTGCGATGGTTATGGTCAACAGTGATGTGACGGAAGTCTCATCTGTGAGTGGAGAAGTAGCCATGCGGGGAAAAGCTCACCGGCGACGGGTTAGAGTTGTAGACTGAGAAAAAACTTTGACGATTGCTTCTACGAGGCGGTGATAAGTGATAACTGAGATGTGGATCTGCATCGGTGCATCCAATGTTGGTAGGAATATTATAACTCAAATATTAAATTGTAACGAAGTACAGGGTTAGAGTTGTTCATTTATTGGACAGAAAAGAAGGGGATAGAAATAAAAATATTTTTGAAGGAAAAACTGTTGAGTGCTTGCACTACACTAGCTAGTAGCCACCGTAGTCCGTAGATGGCAAGCAGACTGTCCAAGTGGTCTGACTTTCAGTTACTAGGAAACAATGATCATCAGATCTGGTTTGTTCTTAGGTCACGTGTTCAGGTCATCATGACAGTTATTATTAATCGTTGTTTTCAAAACACATGTTATGGTAGGTCTTTGCAAACTTCAAACCCGTGGGTTGGTTTTATTTAAAGGTACGTCTAAGACAATGATTAAGTATCATATATGAACCTCAAGTTATTGACACGAGCTTGTTTACAATAGCATTATTCTTCCAAAGTCTTTGCAGATGAATTAACTTAATCTGTATGGATCACATAGTACGATTAGGGTAACGTACATAATGTATACTAATAATTTATGATATTATCTACTGATAATTTATGATCCCCATATGTGGCATCGAAGTTTCCATTCGATTAGTGGTCACCTCAAATCGCCGAAGATAAAGAAAGTTACGAATTGCAGCTGAAAATATACTTACAATAATATTGTATATGTTGAAATGTTTCTTGATTTCAATAAGTAATTTTAGGGTTGCTAAATACGAGTCAATGTAGATCCATTTTCTAATATTTTTCCAATTCAATTTGAATAAAGAAGATGTTGTTGAGTTCACTTATCTTCCTGTTCATTTCAAAGACGATAAATGGTAATTCAACATATATTTTTTAAAACAGAAAAAAATATGTGTAACCTAGTTCGATTGGATACGCAATTTAAATATATAGGACTTAGATCACAACAACAGCTCCTGATTGCCATAGTTCGGCTAACTTTCATTCTCTACCGACTTATTAAAAGGGAAACTTTGCCCGGCCATTGTTTAGGCAACACAAACAGGACTGACTTCTATTACAACTGTACTTCACAGCCAAATCATTACACACTACACATCCGGCGGGGGAACGGTATAGCAACCAAAGGCTTTTCCTTCTTCACGAACGGACCGAACTTGTCTGAAAAATCCGGCTTCTCCTCGCCGGCCGGCAGCTTCCACTCAAACGAATGCAACATCGACGCCAGCACATGGTTCATGAGCCTCTCCGCCAAGTTATACCCGACGCACATCCGCTCCCCGGAACCGAACGGCAGGAACTGAAAGCTGCTGCCCACGAAAGTCAGCCTGGGCCCATTTCCACTGCCGTCCAGAAACCGCTCGGGCTTGAACTGCAGCGGATCGGCCCAAAACTCTGGGTCTCGGTGTATGGCCCAAGTGTTGATGAAAACTGTAGCTCCCTTTGGAACCGCGTAGCCGGCGACGGTGCAGGGTTGACTCGCCACCCGGGCCATGATCCCCACGTGTAGCCGGCAAGTTTCCTTAACGACGGCGTTCAGGTAATTAAGCTCTTTCAGATGATGTTCTTCTACTACGTTGTTTGGTCCCACGACTTGATCTAATTCTTGTACAACTTTTGTCATTACTTTCTCGTCGTTTAGAAGCTCCGTCATCGCCCACTCGATTAAAGTTGTTGCTGGATCTGAGCCACCGCTTGCTACGTCCTGTATGCCAACAAAAACAATGACAATGATAGGAATACAAAAATAAAATAAAAAACACCCTTATTTCTTAATTCTGAACTACCTTTAGCTAGACTTTTTATTTCTAAAACGAATGCAGTCAAAGAGTGGAGTGGTTAGAAGAGATTTATGTATGAATTTTAATTATTGTTTTCTACCTTTCTAAATGAAAGTCAATTTAGAAGTTTTTGAAAGTTTCCACAAACACATCATACAATTTGATTTATATTAATGAATAATGAATAATATTGGAGATCGTGAGGATTTGAATACGTGACGTTAATGTTGATGTGACTTGAATCGGATTATCAGCCGCTACGACTGGTAGTCGGGGGTCTCGTTGTGTATGGGCTCAATGTTATTTGGGTTCGGGTTCTGGGCCTGGTCTGTAACCGTTTCCTTTGCCATATTGGATTAGGTTTAGACCCACATGGAGAAGTACTATAAATACTTCTCATACTCCTCTGTAATCTGTAATCTCCTCGATATAGTGAAACTGGCTCTCTCTCGCCCGTGGACGTAGCTAACACACATCGTGTTAGTGAACCACGTAAATCGTGTGTCTGTGTTTTTTCTATTCTCGCTTTCGTATTCTTGCTTTATCGATTACGGCGATTTCCCGATCCGTAGCAGCGCGTTTATAATAGTTAAAGACAAATCAGTTTTGGTAGCGTATCATAAACCAATTTGTTACAATAATACAAGTTGTTGGGAGACGTCCACGTATGTATGGATCCTAACCACTTTCTTACACACCCCCTCTAACTCGGGTCACTCAAACAAGCTTGAAGTTTGTTGTTTGCACAAGTCTGAATACAAACAATAGAGTTCGACGCGATTCCAAAAGTAGATTTTTCATTAACAGAAGGCTCTGTCACCGTGTTAGGAATTAGTTGATCCCAATAATTCGAGTTATTGGGAGATGTTCAATTAAGGATCATATCAACGAGTTATTCAAACATTTTATTAGAGTCTTCTGTAATCGAAAGGTCTTGCGTTGAATTTTGGTGACCTTTTTTACTAATCACATAATCTTCTTATATATGTGCAAACTTCAAGTGTTTCTCAATTGGATTTTTTTAGAAAGTGTATTAATAAGCATTTGAGGTAGAAAAAACAAATCCCAATTGTGTGTATCAAGTATTGAACTTTGACTTTTGAATAATGAATGAGTATTATACCACTACACTAAAGATTATTTCTTGTTTATCTATGAATGAACGAACTATTCACATATTTCACTTTTAATTTTATTTATTTATATTCTAAGAAAAGGGCACATATTTTTTGAAACCTTGACTTCGTCACTATAAATAATTGAAATCGAACTATTGTGATAAACGGTAGAAATCAAATGAATTAAACATGATTAATGGTTACGTACCAAGACCAAGCCTTTGAAATGAAGGAACGAATCACTCAGCAATCTCCCGGTTGCATCTGCACGGCCCTGAACTTGCAGCAAAATTTGAAGCAAATCCTTGAACACCATTCCTTCCTTTCCCTCCAAATCTTTCAGCCGTCGTTCAATTACAGAAGTAATGATGCAATCGAAACGCTTGGCGAGCTTGGTCGCCTGCCCCTGAATCCCCTGCAAATCAAACCTAGTAAGCAGGGGAAACGCGTCGGAGACATTCGGCCGCCCCAACAGCACCGTCATCTCGCCAATCGCCTGCCGATACTCCGCCGCAAAGATCGGCGCTCCTCCTCCCTCGGATTCGCTTCCGCCGCCGCCGCCCCACAACATAGCCAGGGTCGAATCGACGACCATCTTGAACGCCGCCTCGAACACTCCCGTCGGCTCGCCGGCCCGAATCTCCCGTATTCCCGCCAAAACCGCTCCTTCTCTCAGCGCACGACACGCGTCCAGGGCCTGGTTGCTGATAACCTCGCGGGCCAGGACCTTCCGCATCGCAGCCCAATCCGGCCCGTAAGGCAGCATCGCGACTTCGTTCCCGTCGTATGAGAAAATCTTGGCCACGACAGGGGCCAGGCGGGTCGAGAATGTGGACTTGTGGGCCTGGATGACTTCTTTGGCCAGGGCCGGGGAGCTGACCACGATCATCGGTTTGTTGGCGGCCTTCAGTTTGTAGATTGGGCCGTGGGCCTCGGCCAGGTCCGCGAACTGCCGGTGGAGGCTGTCGCTGTGGAGGAAGGGCAAGTACCCGACCATCGGCAGCCCCCGTGGACCCGGCGGCGGCGGAGGCGATTTGGATGTTCGGAGACTCCTACGTAACCAGATTCCGGCGGAGATTATTATTGCGGCGGTTATGGCCCACAGTGAGGCGGCGGAAGTCTCATCCTGAAAACGAGAAATTAAGAAAGTAGCCATATGGGGAAAGAAAGAAATTTGAAACCGCCGGATTTAGAATATAATTTGCGGATGTGGGCAATTAACGGATTAGGCTGTCCTATTTATTGATGAAACTGGTGTGGAGGAATCGAAACGCTGCCGATTGGTTCGAGGAGGACGACCTGCCGCCCATCCAGGATCCAGTTGAATTAATCGGCTGCAGACATAAGCTGATTAGCATGTTCATTCAACAACGTGCTGTTGAGTGAAAGATACTCCGCCGATTGCATCAAGGACGGGGACATGCGGGGCCCATCCAGAGTCCATTATTAATGTAAAGTTTGTACAATTATATTGGATTCCTATTTAACGCCCTAATTTTTTAAAAATTTCGCCCTAAATTAACAACCAAAAAGAACACAGTTCGTATTAAAGGGAAAAGCTTTATATATATAATGCTATTGAGAAAGAATAAGTAGCAATCAGTCAAAAATGGCGAATGCTCTGTCCTCTCTCCTATGGAAAATCGTAGGAGTAATCCGAGCAAGCTTCTTCATCGTCTCCATTTGGTTTTCAAAGGATGAAGCCATGGAGGGATTAACGATGATGGTGCGGTGGATCCAGGAAGGAGTATTGAAAGCAAGCTTCCTCATCGTCTCCATTTGGTTTTCAAAGGATGAAGCCATGGAGGGACTAACGATGATGGTGCGGTGGATCCAGGAAGGAATATTGAAACAGTGGGTCGGTTTAAGGCACACTGGTGGCCCTATGTTGCGCACGGCGGCGATGCAAAGCTGGATGGAAGACGCACGGGGCGGAGAAGTTTTGATGAATGAGTTGCAGTCGGAGCGGACTGGTGTACCTCGAATGGAGGCTATGGACCAAAAATGGTGCCAGTGGATATCGAAAGTGATATCAGTAGTACAAAATAGTTCTCAAAACAGGCGGCTAACCATTCAACCAGATGGGGTTTGGGGCCGGATTGATGATCAGAGCGTAAGTCCGGTGACCGGCGATGGTGGTCGGGCGTTGGAGCTGACACTCAACGGTTGGCGGAGAATCCGCAGTACCCGATTTAGTGGGGATCTAGAGAATATTGAAAATTTGAATTTTGTAATCCGGAGGAAGATTTACCTCAACCGAAATCAGGTGGGGGGTTGGGATAATGACCAAATTAGTTCCGCATGTTCTGTTACAAAATTCGACCCAATGGTTATCTTACAGGGTGTGACCAGGTTTCATGCTTGGGGTAGGACTCTTGGAGTCCCTATTTATTTAGCCGAACTACTCAGCAGCCTAACATCACAAAAGCAATACAAAGGCTGGCTAGTGAGTTGCCTACAGAGACTAAAAGAGTTCCGAGTGCTTACCTCCTCAGTGAGTTTGAGTGTGGGTGCATCAGAACCAGAGAGCTATTCCGAACAGCTAGAGTTGTGCATAATGGCAGAGTCGAACATTTGCCAGGACCAGATTGTGGAGTTCTCAGCTGAAGATGTTGCTGTGAGCATGCAGAGGGCGAAAATGAGCTTGCTGGGGAGACTCTTCATTGAGAATCGGCCGAGCCTTTCGGTTATCCACAAAATTGTATCAAATGCGTGGGAATGCCGGAAGAAGGTGCAGGTGTTGGAAGCGGAGATGGGACTTCTCCAATTCCTGTTCGATGATGCTGAGGATATGGAATGGGTTTTGAAGCGGACGCCCTGGCCGGTGAAGGATCGGGTGCTGCAGCTCCAGCGATGGGCTCCGATCACTGACGAGGTGTATGATTCCCTTGGTTTTGCGCCTTTTGCGGTGCAAATGTGGGGAATCCCATCCCATTGCCGCACCATTGCCTTTGGAAGAAGAGTGGCAGAGATGAAGCTAGGTGAGGTGATGGATGTCGGGCTGTTCGGCATCAAAGGAGAAGCGGACCAGTTTATCAAAGCTCGGGTGAAGATAAACGTACTTGAGCCGCTTCGATCGCAGGTCTGGGCGAGTAACGAAATCGCTGGGAAATTCTGGGTGACTTTTGCCTATGAGTTCCTCCCCCTGTTCTGCTTTCATTGTGGCAGATTGGGGCATATGGAAAGGAACTGTGTGTTCCCGGCGCCGATTGGAGAGGAGAGATTCAGCCAAGAAATGGCGACTACAGAGGTGGGATTTCGGCTCAATGAAGAGACCTTTAAGGCGGCACAATTCAATGCCCCACCGCTGCCCCAGTCTGTGTGGGTTAATCCCAAAACAAAAGGGAATCTCGGCGGTATTGCGGCGACGGCGCGCGGGGAGAAGAGGAAGCCGGAGGAGAAGGGTACTGTGCGGGAGTCGGTGTTGGCTCTCCCAGCGGGTGGTGGTCGCGAACCAAAGGGGCTCCAGGGGAAGAGTCAGGGGCGTGGGGCTCAGGCGATGGAGTTGGGGAACCGACCGAAATCGGCACGGCAGGGTAAGGATTCAGCTCCCAGTGCCCGAGTGAAGCCCCTGTCGACAAATGGGGGGAAGGCGGGGCTGGCGGTGAAGGAGGTGGGGGATGGTTCAAAGGAAGGGGGGAAAGGGAAGCAGAGGCGGTCGGTGGGGGTTGGAGAGGCGAACGGCGCCGATCAGAGGCTGCCTCGCAGGATGGGAGGGACGAAGGTGGACGGGAAGCAGACTGAAGACCAGATTA